ATGGATGGTTACCATCATGTGATGATGGAGAAGAGCGCACAACAGTTTCTTGGGTTCCAAATATTGGGGAGCTGGTATTATTACAAAGTTCTCTTTTTTGGTTTGTTGCAAGCTATATGGATCTTCTCCAAGATAATGAGATCGATTGTAGGACATTGGAGATCACTAGGGCTGTTCTGTGGAAATTATTTAGACGATTTTTGGGTTGCGCATTCTTTGTTAGATATCTTGATAATAATAAGGGACCAGGTGACAGAAAAAGATCTAGAGAGATGTGGATTGGTGAGAGAGATGTCAAAGAGGCAGTGGGAACCGTCGTAGCGGGTAAAGTTTTTTGGGTTAATAATCAATACAGTGAAAGTACAAGTAATAGTTTCAGATTCAAAGATCTTAGAGGTAAGGGCATTGATATCAGAGCTTATAAAGAAAGAGAAGATATCAGCACGCAACTTGGCAGCAATAGCAGGAAAAATGCAGTCTTTAAGCAGAGCCTTTGCTCATACCAAAGTTCGATGTCTGGAGTTTTACATGATAATAGATGCAGCAAACAGGGTTGTTGGCAATAGGATTCGTTAGTGGAGTTGACAAAGCAAGCAAAGAAGAATACCAGATGGGTGGTCCAAAATTTAAAGAAACAGAATAGCTGTCCTGCTTGAAAATCATCGAAAGTAAAGCAGATCTTCGTAGATGCATCAACAATCAGGTAGTCTGCGGTTTTCAGAGAACTTCATGCATTTGGGAATTGGAGTTCAAAAAGATCGCACAGGGAGATCACAAGGCTAGAGGCAGAGGCTGTAATTCTGGGAATAAGGTCCTTTGCAAGAATGCTCTAGCATTCCTGTATCGATCTACATATAGACAATCGAGGAGCAATAGGGACAGTTTTAAAAGGGGAAAGCTTACCTTGGCAAAAGGATTTACTAAGAAGGTTGTGGGAGTTGTTAAACGAGTTTGACATTTGGATCAGTGAGGTTTTTTGAGTACCCTCAGAGTTAAACCTGGCAAACTTCCTGACCAAATATGTAAACCCAAACGATTGGTGTCTAAGTCAGATAGTTTTCATGATGTTGGAAAACAGGTAGGGTCTTCATACATAGATCGAATGGCAGACAATCAGAACATCAAAATGGAGCGATTCAACAGCAGGTTTTATTACCTGAACTCAGAGAGAGTAAACTGCTTTACTCAAAGCTGGTCCAGAGAGAACAATTATATTTGCTTCCACTAGCTCTAATCCATCGTGTCCTTCAACATATAAGAGAGAAAAAGGCTGTGGCAACCATAATCGTCCCAAGATAGGTATTAGCGGAGTGGTGGCCAATGTTAATATATATAATAATAGATATGTTGCTCCTACCTCCAGTTCAAGTATCATTTACCAAAAGGATTTCAGGAGAAGTGGACCCGTGGAGAAATCTGAGTTGGTAGTTTGTGGCAGCAAGAGTAGGTTAGTAAGGATCCTGTTGGCTAAAGCACAGGCTTTGGGTAGAAAAGCGGTGTCAAATAGTTGGAATAAGTGGCTAGACAAGGTGTGGGATGTGTATAAGGATTTCTGTGAAGTTATGGATTTGAGGGCACTTCTATCTGAGGTTGATACATTAGTATCCTTCATTGTTTGGCTAAATTTAACCCAGTCATTTTCAGATTGTATGGATGTTCTAGCAGTTTCAAGATCATACCTAGAGGCCCAGTTTGCAGATCTTTCCAAGGAATATAGAGTTAAGAGGGTTTATAGAGCACTGTTAAAGGGTTATAGAAAGGCTAAAGACCCAGACTGGCCATGTGATCCTTTAACAGTAGCTGCCTTAAAGATTTTTGTTGACAAG